ATGTAATGACTTAGAAAGAAGTTCTACCTAAATGAGATGAAGAATGAAAAGGTTAGTGAAACTTTCATCTAAACTAATCACTACCAAAATGAACACCACATCATTTACATATCATCCTGAATTCTTTACTTCTGAGAGTCTTAGTATGAATTGTCCTCGGGTTACACAGACTTTCTTTTCTGCACCGAATCCATTATTCAGTCGACTGCAAACTCTTTCACCTGAACCATTAAATACACAACAAAGACAAATTCTTGAAGTTGGTGATATGCCAATGGAAGAAGAAGAAGAAGAGTCAGAATTTACTGAAGAAGTATTTGATTTAGAAGATGATGATGAATTTTCTGATGAAATTGATGAAACTAATGACCTTTTAGCATCTCAATTATTAGAGACAGTAGAAAATATTAGAAAACAATCTGAAGAGAGAAATAAAATACTTAGGAATATTGTTTCAATGAATTCATCGTATGTGCCACCACATTAAACAAAATAAATTTTTGTGGATGAGCCAAGTTATCTTTAACATAACACTGTTTTTAATTAAATTTTTTTTTATAATTGTATTTATTTTTTTCCTAATAAAAATTACTTTTAAAAGAAGATTTTTTGATAATAAGATTTTTTTATTTTTGAACAAACAGTTAAAGATGGAAAAATAGAAAGTGAGAAAAAAAAGAAAAAATTTACTTATAATCAATTATCAAGATCATGAGTATGTTGATGCCTAATTGGAAACCATTGGGTGAATCACCTTTTACACAACTTATTCGTATGAATGCAGCTTTAGAGGAAATTCTTGACCAACCTGATCTTTTAACTGAACTCAGAACAAATAATGATCTTCAACAATAGTTTGTCACTTTTTCTTATCTTATTTTTTTCTTTCTTTTTTTCAGAACATCAAAAACGCTTATTGGTTTTAGTATTTGTTCTCAAGCAAATATACATAAAATGGTAAGTTTTGTTTGTGGTCATGGACAAGTAAAACATCAAATACTATCAGGTGCTGTACTATCTTCAGGGATTGGGTGTGTTGTTGATGCAGTATTTCTTAATGACAAAACGGGGTTATATATGTTAAAACAATTAACATTTAAAAATAAAAGACTTTCAGGAATGACATTAGATTTGTTATGTAAAGTTCTTTCATCATTACTAATTCCTATTCAATCAAAAGTTTGTTTCTATATTATTTTTGTTGTAACAACATTAGTTATTCAAAACCAACTTTTCTCACTATTATTATTGTTAGACCTTTTAAAGGCATTTTTTTAGTAAGAAAGAAACAAAAATATTAATTAAGTAGGAATTTGTATTAGTTCAAACAGTTGATGGATTTTTAGAAGGGTTAATTTCATATATGGAAAGTTATAGTGTTTGTGATTACATTATAGCTTTGTTAAAGTTAGATGTTTTTCATATGAACAGTAGAAGTATTCAATGGTTTTGTGAACATGGATTTATTACTATGCTATTAAACTCATTTCTAGAAGAAAATATTTCAATTGATAAAGTTGAAAGTGCAGCAAGAATTATTGATGAAATTGTTATTTGGCGTCATAGTCATCAAATTGGTGCAGCAGCTAATATTTTCGTAGATTTCTTTAATATTGATAAAAATTTAGAACAATTTATTTGTTGTGTATTTTCTACCACAATTAAAACAGTTCAAGAAAATGGGTTATTAATTATTAGCGATATGTTAGCCTCAAATACTTCAAGAAGTGAATTATGTACAATGCCTATTGGAGGATTACCTGCTATTTATAAAAACCTTGTTAAACATTTTGATAGTATCAAACGACTATTAACAACTTCAACAGAAAGTAATAGTGGTCAGGTTGGACAAACAAAAATCAAACTTGGTTTTATTGTTCTTTCATTATTATTATCTAATTATTCTGTAATTTATAAATTGGTTGATGAGTTTGGATTTATCCAATCTTTATTAGATATTTTCTATGATGAAAGGCATCAATGTACTATTTTCAGACAAATTGTTTATGATATTATTAATACTATTGTCCAAAGGCCAGTAACAGAAATTAAATATCAATTATTAAGAGATAACAAATTTTTAGAAAAAAGCGTTGAATTTGATAAAAGGGCAATTGAGTTTCATCATCAACATCACTATTATCCGGACTATTATCTTATTAATTCGACTTTGATGTTCGATATTTATAACAATAGAGAATTAACCTCTTCTAAGTTCTCAGCAACTATTAGTTTGTTTTTTTATTTGTTTATATTCTCTGAATATTAGAATAAAGCTTTTGTTTGAGTTCATCAACTAACAAAACAATATTAATTTTATAGATAATGATTTATTCTTAAATTATGTGATTGAAGTTATCATTCCAAGAAATGAAGAAAAAAGTACATATTTTGAACAAAAACATATCCCAGATAATTATTTTGATAGTAATACATATACTAATTTCTTATTAAACTCACAAAAAAGAGGAGATGATGATGATTTTTGAAGATGATTACATCTATTCTGATATGATAATTATGTAATACCTCAAATATTTCTATGTTTCTTTTTTTATTTAATCAATAATAAAAACTAATAAACAATTTTAAATAAATAATAATACAATTAAATACAATTTTATGAAATCAAGCCTTAAAAAGCTCAGAACCAAGAATCATTCTAATTCTTGTTCTTTGGGGATATTTTTTACATCTCTTGTAAATGTCTAATGGATTAATAAAAATGTTTTGTTGGTATGATTTTCTAAGATTTTTAAATGCATTTTTTAATACTTTGATTGGTGACGTTTCTTCTTCTTTATAAAATGTCCATAATAGTCCATAATTTGGTTCAGAGTGAATACATGATAAAATTATATTCTTTAACATTGACCATTGTTTAGTAAGAATTATTAATTTTAGAAATTCTATATAAATATCCCCATATTGAGGAGTAAATACTTGGGCATATTTGAGAAATAATAATGATAAATAAAAATTACCTTGTTTCATTGCCATTCTTGCACCTTCACACCATACCTCTCCAGATTTAGGTGCATTTCTCAATGCAAGTTCAAGGGATTCTTCTTGTTTTTGAATTCCTTCAATTTGAGATAACATAACAAATAATCCCCATACTCTTCCTGTTGATGGAAATTGTCCAACAACAGATTTACAAATATCATATCCTTGTTTAACCTTATTACATCGAACAAGAATCATAATAGCTTCAATAGAATATTTCCAATCATCGATTACTTCAATAATTTCATATGCTTTTTTAACTGCATTATTTTCATCTTTAATAACTTCTTCAATATGTGCTTTTTCCATTAATACAATTCCAACTTGTTTTTCTCCAACAAGTTGTTGTGCTTCTTTTAAATATTTCAATGACCTATTTATATCTTTATTCATAAAATGACGTGCCATTAAAACATAACTTTTCCATATTGTATTGAGTGGAGAAGATTTTAAACAAACTTCGAATTGTTCTGTTGCCATATCATTCCATCCATAATCACAAGCTATTATAGCAACTTCAAGATAAACTTTCCACTGAACGTCAGTACTAAGATTCCCAATATGTTTATTTACAATTTCTTGTAAATCAGCTTTAAATTTTAACACTACTTCCTTAATTATTTTTAATATATTATTTTCTAATACCTCTTCTTCAATTTCTTTTTTCCTTTCATAACTATTAATCATTTCTAGAGAATCACTAGACTGTTCTTCATTTTCAAAACCAATATTGATCAATGGACTTCTAGGAGAATTAACTGGAGAACAAATCAAAGTATTCTCTTTAATAATTTTATTAATCCTTAATTTAGTAATCCTACTCCTAGTTCGTATTAGTAATATTAATAAATGAATATATTTTGGAAAAGAAGACAATCCTTTTTCACTTAACTCATAACATTTATTTTCGTTTAACAATTTATGATACATCAGTGCATGTTCATATAACATTGGTGCGATAGCTGTTCCAGTTAATTTCTTACTAACCAAAACATTCATACCATTAAGAGCTACATTCAAAGAGCCAACACGGGCTTCAAACATTAATCCTTCAAATATAATTTTCCATACTAAATTCACATTTTTTCCTTTTATTTTAACTTCTAGTAATTTTCTTGCTTTATCAAATTCATGAATTTTTTCATACCATTGAATTGCTTTAATACAAACAGTTTCATCATCACATTTTTCTGCACAATCATCAAATAATTTTCCAATACTTGTAAATTTTCCTCTTTCTTCTAAATAGGTAAGGGACTTACATATAAAATTTTTATCATTTCCAATTATTTTAGCACCAATACCAATCCATTTTTCACACAGTGTATCTCTTCCTAAATCGATACAATGGTCTATTACTTTTATAATAACATATTTTTTAATTTCATGAAAAATATCTAACATCTTTAAAGCACGTTGATCAAACCGTGTTTCTTCACTATCTTTTGTAACTTCCTCAAAGGAAGCATTAAATTCATTTTCAAGTTTCATAACCCGTTGATTTTTTTCTTCATTTCTTCGCTTCATCGCTGTCGTGTTTTTATTTTTTTATAAAGCATTTTCTTAAATATGGTGTGTCTCTTCATTATATTTTTTTAAAATATTAAATTAAGGTGAAGAGACAACAATGTAAAATAGAAAGAAGTATGTTTTAAAAACTCAAAAAAGAAATTTAATAGAAAAATAGGGTTCTTAGATCTAATGCTTTATTATGAAAAGAGGAAGTCAGAAGCCGATTCAAAAAATCAAAAAAATCTCTATGGTGCAAAGTATTCCTACACAACCAACTGACCCTTCTACTGTTAGAATAATAGATTACTCAAAAAACAATGAAAAGAAAGATGAACTAAAACGAGAAGAAGAAAAAGTAAAAGAAATGAAAGAAAAAAGAAGAGAACAAAGCAGAAATCATGAAAAAGAGGAAATAGTTAATGTTATTGAAAAACCAAAAGAGATTAATATGGGTATAACATCTTTTGTTAGAAAAGGAAAAAGTATTAACGGATTAACAAAACATCTTGTGAGTGATTTTCAAGTACGTGAAATTGGATTAGATAATTCTATAGCAGATATTATTGATAGAGAAAATGTGAGGGGTGTTACAAAAATTACAGAAGAAAAAATAGAAGAAGTGGTTAATAAAGAAGAATGGATTAATAAAATGAGATTAATTATTGGAACAGAAGTAGATGAAATAGCCCCAAAAATTTTTGATGAGAAAGTAAATCGAATTGAAATTAAAAAACCATTAAATAAACAAGAAAGAACAGAGTTTCATATGGTTGTTAAAGAACTTCCAAATTATGACTCAACATGTGATAACGGAATTCTTGTGTTAAAAAAAGGTGCAAAAAAAATTCGTGGTGGAAGAGAAAAAAACTCTATTTTAAAATGTGTTTTAAGGAAATCAAATATTGATACTGGTGAAGCTATTAATCGTATTTCAAAAGCATTGAATTTAGGTAAAAATGCTATTTGTTTTGCTGGAATGAAAGACAAAAGAGGAGTTACATGCCAATATATTACTATCCCTGGAGTTAAACAAGAATTAATTGAAGAGAGTTTAAAAAAAAGTATATGTAATGGAATTACTTTAAGTCAATTTGAACACGTAAATCATATGATTAAATTAGGAGATTTACTTGGAAATGAATTTAGAGTTATTATTAGGGAAATTGATAATGTTGATGAAGTTCTTAAAAATTGTGAAAGTATTAAAAAGTTTGGATATATTAATTATTTTGGACTACAACGATTTGGTAGTTGTGGTACTACCCATTTAATTGGAAAAGCATTATTAAAAGAAGAATATCAAGAAGCTGCAGATTTAATGATGAAAGAAGGAAATGATACTTTTAGTGTTGCACAAGGAAAAAAATATTATAAAGAAAAACAATACAAATTAGCATATGAAATTATTCCAATTAAAAGAAATATTGAAAGAGCTCTTATGCAAGCATTAGATAAACAAGTTAAACTTGGAGTCAGTATAAGTAATGGAATGTTTAAAACTGCTATTGATAATGCAATTGTTTATAAAACTAAATCGTTATATCTTCACGCATATCAAAGTTATGTTTGGAATCAAGTTGTCTCTAAGAGATTTGAAAAATATGGTAATGCAGTATTAGTAGGTGATTTATATGAAACAAAACAAGGAACAATTGATTTTGTTACTGAGGAATTATTACCTTCAATTTGTTTGCATCAAATTATTATCCCACTTCCTGCACAAGGAATTACAATGCCAAAAAATGAAATAAAAAATTTCTTTGATGAAGTACTTTCTAAAGATGGGTTCATACTTGATACTTTCCCAACTAAAATTTATAATGTTGCAATAACTGGAGATCAGAGAAAAATTGTCATTCAACCAAAAGACGTGGAGTATCAAGTTATTCATTATGGAAATGTTGGACAAGACCTTCTTGATGAAAGAGGTTATCTTAGAACTGACTACCAAAGTGGTGATAGAATTGGACTTTGGATTAAGTTCCAATTAGAACCTTCTGCTTATGCCACTATGTTATTCAGAGAATTATTAAAAATGCCAACGGATTTGGATTGTCAAAAACAATTAACTGAAGAAATGAAAGAAAAAATGGAAGAAGAAGAAGAACATTAAAGCATTTAATTGATTGATTTTTTATTTAAACAAAGGGGTGGTCTTGGTAATAGGTAAATGAAATAGTACATTTCTATTGAGTAACATACTTTCATAAATTTTATATCTTTAAATGAATAAATTAATTTTTGTTTATTTAAATGAAGAAAAGTTCAGTTTTAGGGTTTTTAGAATTCAATAAATCACACAAGAAATGTCTTTAGATGTTGAACAACAAATTCAACGTCAAATTAATGAATTTCTTCCAAAAAAATTGAAGTTTATCAAAACAGAAACGATAAATCCAATAGCAAATAAAACAATTAGTATTGATAATAGGATAGATGTTGATTATGACGATATTGAAGAGTTAATGAAATGGAAATTAAAAAACGGTAGAAATGCAGGGAGAGGATATTTTAATGCACATAGTAATTGTTATATGATTAGTATATTACAAGTATTAACTCACACAACACCTTTTTATAATTATATGATACAACAAAAGATTAAAGTAGATGACATATTTTTTAAAGAATTAGAACGAATAATAAAAGAGGCGTTTGAAAAAAATAATAATCAACCATTAAAACCAATAATATTTGAAAAAAATTTAAAAAAATTATCTTCTTCTTTACAAAGATATCAACAAGAAGATGCTACAGAATTTTATTTACTATTAATTGATCATCTTCATGAAGCAATAATTGGAAAAGGAAAAAATAAAATATCAGCTATTAGTAGTATATTTCATGTTGAATTGATATCAAGAATTACATGTTATAATTGTACAAGATTTAATGACCATGACGAACATTTTTCTGTATTACCAATTGAAATAACAAAACAAAAAACACTTGAAAGTGGATTTGATCAATT